TCAGTTTCCTCCTCCATAAATGGGAAAGGATATACCACTACCTCACAGGGCAGTTCTGAGGACTAACTGTGATAGCGCAGTCTACAGCCAAGTCCCCTCTCGGAGCCCCAGTGGGCACCCGCAAATGCCAGGGAAAACTCCCACTAGTGCCTCCATCAGAGACAGCACAAAGCAGGTGTCCAGGGGACTTTCTGGTTTGACAACCAGCCCTTAGCGCTCCCTGGAGAAACAAGACACCTCGGACAGAGGACACTTGCACACTCATTTTATTGCTGGTTCCGGGCTAAGAAAACAGAAGAAGGCAAGTAATATACTTGAGGCCAGAGCTAGCTTGTCACTGGGTGGGACATTCTTGCCTGGTGTAGACATGATCTGAAAAGAATCTAGATTTCTCAGCAAAAAGGAAAGCTTATAATAAGAGTCCCTAAGGGGAGGGTGGGGGGAGGAGAAATTAAAATTAAAGGAGAAGGGAGAGATATTGGGGGGAGGGGCTCCAACTAAATCTTACTTTCTTGTTTTAGCAAGATGTCTACTATGAAGCTTGAAGGAGAAACTAGTAAAATTCATTAGGCAAGGTACTTCCGATGCCCAATTTTAATGCTCATAATGACTTAATGAGGCCTAAAACTTTCCCACTTTAGAACTAAGGAAAATGTTGGCCAGATAGAGCTTAAGTTTTACCCCAAACTGATACCATGGTAATTAGCTAGTTATTAATAATAGGAAAAGAGCAAAGGGGGAAGCCAGACATTATAGGCAAGCCATTTGGGCAACTTCACCAGGAAGCTGCAACTCTTCACTCCCCAGGGAACCACAGGCCTCCTCCCTGCAAAACACTGGGGGAAGGGACCTAACCAGGGGAGATAGACGCATGCCCAGTAAAGTTGGGGTGACATAGGGAAAGTACTTGTCTGTTAATGGTACCAGGGAACAAAGATCATTGGCCAGAATGGGCATGGCCACTGCGAGAGAGTGAAAACTTGGGAATTCGTAATCTTCTAAACAAAGGCATTTTCTCTCTTGTTGCTCACGGGCTCTTGGCTCGCTTGCATTCTCCCGTGTTTCCTCCACAGCCATGTGGACCTGCAGGCCCCACGTGCAATGGGCTGATGGACTGCAGTGGGGAACACATACTGTGCTAGCCTGATGCTGGACTGGCCTCTGCTCCAACATGGAAAGGAAACTCTGTTCACTGGCTCCGCATTCAGATCTGCTAAGCCCCAGCTACTCTTCTTCCATGACTGCACTGAGGGAAATGGGACTTGGGACACTCAGGGATGTAATTCCACAGACATAAAGCTTTCTACTACCTCTCATTCTCCCGCGCAAGTCTCAGAAAATTATTCCTCTTGGGATATCACAAGAAATCCACCCCCACTACCATCCAGGGGAGACGAGGACCTCTCCCCTCCAGTAACAAAACCACAAAGCAGAGCTGGAAATCAAGCTCAAGTCCACCTAACACCACAATCCACACTCCTCCACTCCATCAGTAGAGAAAGTCAGGCAGGCTGGGTCAGGGCCTGGCGGTCAGCAGGCAATGCTCTACGTCTCTGCTACTCCTACCCACCAGCTTTCCCAGGGGAAGTCCTTTTTTGCCAGCTAGACCTCTGGGGAGCCACTGTTTCCTTTAGGGCCAGGCGGGGGATACTCACTGTACAAGAGAAAGTATCTAACAACTGCATGGTTCTGTACTTCACACAGTCTTCCTAAAGCCTGAGGTGCAAACAGAGGCTCGCCTATTTTCCCTCTCTGCTTTCAAGTTTTAAAGTTTTTCCTATCCACTCTCTAACACAGTGGTTGCTCGTTAGATTTTATTTTCTGAATGTCGCAGTGTATTAACCAGCTTCTTCATATGCATCTTGCCATTTCCCAGATGTCAGTAGTAGACGCCTTCCAGCATCTGATAAATATCATGGTTCATGCCCCAGGAGGGTGATGGTTGCCTCCTCTGTTCTCCATGGCCAGTTCCCTCAACCTCCTCCGCTTACCCCAGTGATCTCAACCTCTCATAGCTCAAAGCAGGGGGTACAGCCCCTGCCTCTCCACTCTTTAATAAATCACTCCATGGGTCTGCTTTTTAATATTCCAACCTCTTCCCAGGGCAGGAAATCACAAATGCAAACACCATTTAGAAATACATCTTTGCCTCAAGATTCCTTTGCTGAAAATCTTTAATACTTAGCTTTAAATTTTCTTTAGATCTATGGAGCTTATGCTGAAAAGTCAGGAAATTGTCCAGAGGGTCTGAAGGTTCCAAAGCCTTCCACTCAAATTCACATCTCCAACTTGGCAGACACATAGTCCTTAGACACAAATTAAGGCACAACCACTTAACAAGCCCAATCCTTATTCTCTACTCACCCCCCAGCCCATCTCATTCCCACTGCTATAAATTTTCCATAATTAGTAACAGCAGCCACCACTTATGAAGAGCCAACTGGTGCCGACACTAATCTAAGAACTTCGTATCTCATTTAATCCTCTCAACATGTTTAGGAGAAGCCAGAGGTTTGGGGGTTACAGAAGTTGCCTCGTGTGACCCGGCCAGGAATGTGGCAGCCAGGATTCTAACCTGAGTCTGACACCAACACTCTCCCTCTGGCCGTTACACAGTGCCACTTTAGTCACAAAATAGTTCCCTTCTTCCTGAAATAAGCGCTTCTCCATGCAAATTCCATACCACTGCAGAAGAACCCAGAAGACCCTCTTCGCTAGGTCGACATGTTTTTATTGCAAAAGGGATGGGAAACAGAAAAAGTTTAAAAAAAAAAAAAAAAAAAGGAGGTCCTGAAGAATGCCTTCACCTCTGACCTCCTTCCTCCCACTAGAGGTCAGAGGAGCAGGCCCTGGAACCAATGGAATGACTCTGCGGTCAGTTTCCCATTCCATGTTTACATCCCTGGCTGGGAAGAAAGAGCTGACATGACAAGGCTGCACTAGGAAGAGAAGGCGACGCGGGCTCCGCATCTGTCTGAATTAACCGCTGCCGCCTCTCGGCACTTCCCTCCTGGCCCCTCACTCAGGTCAGTGAGTCATGAAATGAGGACAAGGCTCCAGGGAGGCGAATACCACAGCTGCACAGCCATGAAGCAGAAATGACAAGACACAGGTGGTTAGCAATCTTCCTTCCCCGTGGGTCCCCCCTCCCACGCACCACCAAGTAGCTCTAACCGAGGGGAGCACAGGGTTGTCCCATCACAGAGGAAGAATCTGGAATGTTAGCCACTTAAACCA